AAGACCCAAGATCGGCGGGGGAGCTGAGCCCCCCCACCACGTCAAGGTGGCACACCGTCGGGGGGGGTAAGTACCTTAACCTACCGTAACCTACCATAACCAAAAGCTGTTTGTTGTCGCCGGATAAATATCGTCGCGTTGTCGCGTCGTGTAATAACGTATGTGTGCGTGTCTTTCTTTAATCGAGTGGTTTTTAATTGCCAACAGTGATTATGTGAATGTGATTATGTTGAAGTTTATAAAAGAATACAGTTTATAAAAGAAAAAATAACATTCGATTAATTATTTCGTATGGATCTCTGTCCTTTAGAACGTGATATCTACGTTCAATTTGAGTGAAAGTACGATCTATCGCAAAAATTCATTTCTCAAGAAATTACAGCAATACATCGAACAAGATAATAATAACTATTCTTTGGTGTTGTGTAAAAACAGATTTTGCGATATGAAATAAACAGTGTTAGAGAAAATTCGAAAGAGAGGGGTTTTTAGTGGATAGGAAGTACCGAGTTCGTAATTCGACTTGGTACTCGAGTCCCACATAACTCACCGGATCGCTCGGTGAGTATGCATAAAATGCATTTTCCCCTCTCTCGTAAAAAGAAAAAAAACCGGTACAATACAAAAAAATAATAATTAAAGTGAAAATAATAATAAAAAGTAAATAATAATTTAAGTAAGAGTAATAATAACTTCAAGTGAGTAAGCAAATGAGAGAGAGAGAGAAAAGAGAGAGAATAAGAATTATGTATTCGCATGTGTGTGTGTATGTAGCAACCAGCTGGTCGCAGCGAGCGCCCCGCGTAAGCACTCGCATCAAACGGTGAATCGCGCCATCCTTGTCTGCCTCTTGTATCCGACCCGTCATAAGTTAATTACTTCCTTTAATAATTCAAAAACTAAGTGTCGGACAAAATTTTGCAAAGCAAAAATCGTCTTAGAATTGACTCAAGAATGTGTCATTTTACGGACAATATGGTTATTTTGAATCACCCTGTGTATATATATATATATATGTATATACACTGTATATATATTGTATATACAGGGTGTCCCATTTTAATGCCCCACCCCAAATAACTTTCTTATTTTTAATTTTAGAAAAAGATGTTTCAGACAAAAGTTGTATGGTTTCGAGGGGGACATAAGATGGTACCATTAATTTGATCTTGAAGAGTCACATGAAGGTTACGTGAAGATCATTTTCAATTTCTTAAATGGAACACCCTATATATTTTTGCATATTCTTGTAGCTTATCTCGAGAGCTTTCCAAAACACTATAAATAAACATTTTTTCATCAAGTACGTTTCGAGTAATGAGGCTTGAAATCATTTCTTAATTTTACATAAACCATAAAATATCTTGTAAAATATTCATTTTTTGATTATCTTACCTTAATACTTTTATGTACAAAATAATGAGAGAAATCCATTGGTGCAAAGAAAACATACAGTTGTTTTTAAGAAAAAAATATGTAATTTGCAATTAACAATTCCATATTTTTTCTTAAAAACAACTGTATGTTTTCTTTACACCAATTGATTCCTCTCATTATTTTGTACATAAAAATATTAAGGTAAGATAATCGAAAAATGAATATTTTACAAGATATTTTATGGTTTATGTAAAATTAGGAAATTACTTCAAGCCTCATAATTCGAAAAGTACTTGATGAAAAAATGTTTATTTATAGTGTTTTGGAAAGCTCTCGAGATAAGCTACAAGAATATGCAAAAATATATAGGGTGTTCCATTTAAGAAATTGAAAATGATCTTCACGTAACCTTCATGTGACTCTTCAAGATCAAATTAATGGTACCATCTTATGTCCCCCTCGAAACCATACAACTTTTGTCTGAAACATCTTTTTCTAAAATTAAAAATAAGAAAGTTATTTGGGGTGGGGCATTAAAATGGGACACCCTGTATATATACATCCGTCCGTCAATTTTGACCTTGACGAAATAAAGAAGTAGATTGGCTTAAATTAAGAAAGAATGACCTGTATTGTTTTGTGATTGTCGCAATAATTAACGAAAAATTAAATAAAAAAGATCGGCCAATCTGCGTGAGTAAAAGCGCGCGACGACGAGAGTCGTCCCATTGTAATCTGATACTACGATCGCGGCAAAGCGGTGGGCGGGTCGCTCTCCCAGACATGATGGTAGTTTAGGATATATCGCAATACGCATCGAAAAATTATTTGTCCTTTTAGTGGCGAGAAAATGATGCGCTATCATTTCCACACCACCTTGCGGTAGATAGCATGATACGCTTTTTATAGTGGTTTCCCCCATAGGCCTATTGCATTCTCAATTTGAAAATTATTCAAAATGCCATTACTATACGCTGAATGTATCTTAAATTAATAAAAAATTGATGGTGACAGTACCTTTACAAAAATTGATTCGTGATTGAAAATCCCTCGATAAAATGTATTGCACACGTTGATAAAATGCTTCAAGAATCCTTTCTTCATCTCGTACACGAAAGCGTACTGCTCGACCTGTTATGCATCCCCAATATTATGCACGACACCCAGTTTCACATAATTATTGCACAACACGTAAAATTGTACGGCCACTTGGTTTTCATGCACGCCCGGGAAATGATTTCATGTAAATTGCGGCCGCACGATAAGTATTTTCTCCCGCTAAGACGTTTTAATAAAAATCTTGTGTTCGCGTAGTAAATTAACAGTGAAAATGAAATATACTCTGCAGGAATATACGGATATAATTGTGGCATACGGACTAGTGGGAGAAAATACTTGTCGTGCGGCCGCAATTTACATGGAATCATTTCCCAGGCGTGCACGAAAACCAAGTGGCTGTACAATTTACGTGTTGTGCAATAATTATGTGAAACTAGGTGTGCATAATATCGGGATAACAGGTCCAGCAGTTTGCCTTCGTGTACGAGATGAAGAAAGGATTCTTGAAGCATTTTATCAACGTATCATTATCAACGGGTGCAATACATTTTATTGAGGGATTTTCAACCACGGATCAATTTTTATAAAGGTACTGTCACCATTAATTTTTTACATTTAAGCGTATAGTAATGGCATTTTGAATAATTTTCAAATTGAGAGTGGAATAGGCCTATGGGGGAAATCACTATAAAAAAGGCGCACCATGCTATCTAGTGACACGCAAGGTGGTGTGGAAATGATAGCGCATCATTTTCTCGCCACAAAAAGGACGGATCATTTTTCGGTACGTATTGCGATATATCACACACCATCATGTCTCGGAGTACAATCCGCCCACCGCTTCGCCGCGCTCGTAGTATCAAATTACAGTGGGACGACTCTCGTCGCCGCGCGCTTTTACTCACGCAGATTGGCCGATCTTCTTTGTTTAATTTTTCGTTAATTATTGCGACAATCACAAAACAATAGAGGTCCTTCCTGCTTAATTTGCGCCAATCTACTTCCTTATTTCGTCAAGGTCGAAAATTGACGGACACCCTGTATATAGTCTGCAATATCTTCGGAAAAAGTCATAAGTAAATCTCGTTAAATCAAACTAAAAATTTATATACCATTTTGAAATGCACCACGTAAAATTCGAGATATTAATTAAACAAGATCGGCCAATGCGCGTGGCTAGAAGCGTGCGCCGCCATCATGTTTTGGAGAGTCCGTCCACCGCTCCCTCTCCACTTACCGCTTCGTCGCGCGCCAACACACTCATCGCTCCTTTTCTCTCCAATCACCGCTTCGCCGCACGTCGTCATTATGTTACAGTGAAACTGCTTTCGTCGCCGCGCGCTTCTAGCCATGCGCATTGGCCGATCTTTTTTAATTAATATCTTGAATTTTACGTGGTGCATTTTAAAATGTTATATGATCTTTTAGTTTGATTTAACGAGATCTACTTATGTTTTTTTCCGAAAAGGTTGCACAGACATCGTGTATATGTCTACTACTAGTGTTGTCTGATTTCTCTGCGTCTATCTGCTCGCAGATGACGGAACACTAATAACGGATTGTACTAAAGACTGTATCAAATAAAATAATATTGTTACGTCTCTAAGTTCATGTCAAATCAGCATGTCAAATCAAGTCGGCATTAAAAATTATTCTCTAACGCGTTGTTAAAGAATGTTTAAAAAAAAGACTAGACAAGAGAGATTCGAGCAAGCTGTCCGAACGCGTTTCCGACGGCTCCGACTATTTGCGTATTTTAATTTTTAAATTACGTGTTTCGTATTTTGTGTTGTTGTATTATACTACGTTATCAGTTATTATTAAAGGTCCTCGTACTTTTTAATAAAATGTATCTTTATTTCGCGAGTATCGGATGTGTCGAACGGTTGCGCCGTGCGCTTCAATAATATCGATTATGATCTGCGGACGTAACTATATATATGAAATGTATATTCATTAATTTGGCTATGTCAGTGGACGTGATCTATGCCGTTAAGTCAGAGAAATTCGAAATTGATTGTAATGATGATAATACCTCTGAAATTTACCCTAGAGAGAGAAAATGAATGAGCGGTGAATGTATCAATTGGAATAAATTAGCCACTGATACAGGATCACCAGCCAGTGATATTTTTATGGCATTAAAAAAATTTGATGAAGAAAAAAAATCTAAAGAGATAAAATTTGTATAAATGCCAAACTTCAATTAAAACCTTTTGTTTTGTTTACTTCTTGAGTACCTTTCTATCAATTAACATATCAATTAACTTACGAATGTTTACTCAGGATCCAAACTGGGCAGTCCCTTGCAAAAAAACATTCCTAAAGTCAAGAGAATAAAATTTTCGACTAATTAAAAAGTTAATTAGATACTAATTTCAACCATATACGGAATAGACGTCTAACAACTCTTTAACCGTCTTTTCGATCTTATTTTTCAATTTCATTTCAATCTCATTTCTCACTGGAATAAGAATAACAATTTTAAATATCTATTACATGTCTTTTTCGTTTTCTATCTATTTCATATTTTCTGCAACAAATATTCTTTGTATTATTTACAGTCGGCTGAAAATGATGTACCGATTACGTCACGTCCTATAAATTCCTTGGTGGAAGTCTTCACGCCGGTTATAAATAGTATAACTTCAACGAATCCTGAAAACAAACCAACAACTATATCAATTAACCCGATTACAACTACTACTCCTATTACTACCATATCAATACCAACTACCGTACCAACAACTATTGCTGCTACTACTACAACAACACCTGAGACTACAACAGCTGCAACTACAACAACAGCTGCAACTACAACAACAACTGCTACTACAACGACAGCTGCAACTACAACAACTGCTGCAACTACAACAACTACTACTTCGATCATTCCTACAATAACTACCACTCCTACAACAACTACCACTTCTACAACAACTACCATTCCTACAACGACTACGATAAGTCAAATAAAGAGTAGTATATTTTCTTTTCCTCAGCTTACAACAGCCACCATAAAAGCTAACACTTTATCAGATATAACAAAACGTTCAAATACAGTCTCATCATTACCTACTGCAACAATATCTGCAAACAACATATTAAACGAATTACAAATGAATACGAAGGAGAACGTCTTTGGTACAACATTCGAAGATTTGACTTTCCTGAATTCATTGGTAAATCAATTTCATTTTTTTCTAATTACATTAACGATTTTTTAACGTTTTTTAAAGATAAATTAAAATAACAAGAATATAAAAAATTAAAAAGTAGAAATAGTGATTGACAATTACTAGAAATTTTCCAAAGAACAATACATAAATTTCGCTTATTAGTTTTTATTTTTTTTTTATTCATTAAAGATTGCTCAAGCAACTGAAGTTTTATTTATAATTTTTTTAAAATAATTTTTTAATAAACTATAAATAATAAAGATTTTTTCTAAAATTACTCAAAATCGTGACAATATAGTTAAAGTCAAAATCATGGAAGAATTTGTTTATATATATGTACTAATGTAAAGTTATATTATTAAATTAAATTAAATTATATATATATATACAGGGTGAGGCATCTAAAACAGGCCACCTGAATAACTCCGTTGGTAAGCCGAATACAAAAAAATTGTTCAGACAAAAGTTGTATGGTTTCAAGGGGGACATATGACGGTGTCATTAGTTTAATCTTGAAGAGCCACCCGAAGGTCACGTGAAGGTCAGCTCCAACTTTTTAAATGGGATACCTTATATGCTTTTGCATATTCTTGTAGCTCATCTCAAGAGCTTTCCAAAACACTACAATTATGTTAGTTTTCATTAAATACTTTCCAAGTTATGAGGCTTGAAATCATTTTTTAATTTTACATAAACCGTAAAATATCTTGTAAAATATTCATTTTTCGATTATTTTACCTTAATATTTTTATGTACAAAATAATGAGAAGAATCAATTGGTGTAAAGAAAACACATAATTGCTTCGAACAAAAAAATGTAATTGTTAATTGCAAATTACATTTTTTTGTTCGAAGCAATTATGTGTTTTCTTTACACCAATTGATTCTTCTCATTATTTTGTACATAAAAATATTAAGGTAAAATAATCGAAAAATGAATATTTTACAAGATATTTTACGGTTTATGTAAAATTAAAAAATGATTTCAAGCCTCATAACTTGGAAAGTATTTAATGAAAACTAACATAATTGTAGTGTTTTGGAAAGCTCTTGAGATGAGCTACAAGAATATGCAAAAGCATATAAGGTGTCCCATTTAAAAAGTTGGAGCTGACCTTTACGTGACCTTCGGGTGGCTCTTCAAGATTAAACTAATGACATCATCATATGTCCCTCTTGAAACCATACAACTTTTGTCTGAACAATTTTTTTATATTCGGCTTACCAACGGAGTTATTCAGGTGGCCTGTTTTAGATGCCTCACCCTGTATATATATATATATATATATATATATATATATATATATATATATACAGGGTGTCCGTAGATTTTCGACCAAAATGAAATAAATAAGTAGATTGGCTCGAATTAAGAAGGAATGACCTGTATTGTTTTGGGATTGTCGCAATAATTAACGAAATATTAAATAAAACAGATCGGCCAATCTGCGTGAGTAAAAGCGCACGGCGACGAGAATCGTCCCACCGTAATCCGATACTACGAGCGCGGCGAAGCGGTGGGCGGGTCGCTCTCCGAGACATGATGGTGGTTTGCGATATATCGCAATACCGCGCCGAAAAATGACTCGTCCCCCCTTTTTGTGGCGAGAAAATGATGCGCTATCATTTCCACACCACCTTGCGGTAGATAGCATGGTGCGCTTTTTTTATAGTGGTTTCTCCCATAGGCCTATTCCACTCTCAATTTAAAAATTATTCAAAATGCCATTTACTATACGCTGAATATATCGTAAATGTAAAAATTAATGGACAGTACCTTTACAAAAATTGATTCGTGGTTGAAAATCCCTCGATAAAATGTATTGCACACGTTGATAATGTGATACGATGATAAAATTCTTCAAGAATCCTTTCTTCATCTCGTACACGAAGACGTACTGCTGGACCGGTTATCCCGATATTATGCACGACACTCAGTTTCACATAATTATTGCACAACACGTAAAATTGTACGGCCACTTGGTTTTCGTGCACGCCCGAGAAATGATTCCATGTAAATTGCGGCCGCACGATAAGTATTTTCTCCCGCTAGTCCGTATGCCACAATCATATCCGTATATTCCTGCAGAGTACACTTCATTTTCTCTGTTAATTTACTACGCAAACACAAGATTTTTATTAAAACGTCTTAGCTCTCGCACGCTGTTACCAGACTGCGTACGCCAGCAGCACGCAACTACAGCTGACAGCTGAGCGGACATGTGAGTGTAAGCGTACGTGTGAGTTCGACGCCTGCGCACTATGATTACACTCACAGTCCGCTCAGCTGTCAGCTGTAGTTGCGTGCTGCTGGCGTACGCAGTCTGGTAACAGCGTGCGAGAGCTAAGACGTTTTAATAAAAATCTTGTGTTTGCGTAGTAAATTAACAGAGAAAATGAAGTGTACTCTGCAGGAATATACGGATATGATTGTGGCATACGGACTAGCGGAAGAAAATACTTATCGTGCGGCCGCAATTTACATGGAATCATTTCTCGGGCGTGCACGAAAACCAAGTGGCCGTACAATTTTACGTGTTGTGCAATAATTATGTGAAACTGAGTGTCGTGCATAATATCGGGATAACCGGTCCAGCAGTACGTCTTCGTGTACGAGATGAAGAAAGGATTCTTGAAGAATTTTATCATCGTATCACATTATCAACGTGTGCAATACATTTTATCGAGGGATTTTCAACCACGAATCAATTTTTGTAAAGGTACTGTCCATTAATTTTTACATTTACGATATATTCAGCGTATAGTAAATGGCATTTTGAATAATTTTTAAATTGAGAGTGGAATAGGCCTATGGGAGAAACCACTATAAAAAAAGCGCACCATGCTATCTACCGCAAGGTGGTGTGGAAATGATCAGCGCATCATTTTCTCGCCACAAAAAGGGGGGACGAGTCATTTTTCGGCGCGGTATTGCGATATATCGCAAACCACCATCATGTCTCGGAGAGCGACCCGCCCACCGCTTCGCCGCGCTCGTAGTATCGGATTACGGTGGGACGATTCTCGTTGCCGCGCGCTTTTACTCACGCAGATTGGCCGATCTGTTTTATTTAATATTTCGTTAATTATTGCGACAATCCCAAAACAATACAGGTTCCTTCTTAATTCGAGCCAATCTACTTATATATTTCATTTTGGTCGAAAATCTACGGATACCCTGTATATATACTTCAAGATTTACAGGGCATCGATGCAATCTCTTCGGAAAAAAGAAACATAAGTAGATCTTGTTAAAACTAAAAAGTTATATACCATTTTGAAATTCACTACCTAAAATTCGAGGTATTAATTAAAAAAGATCGGCTAATGTATGTGGCTAGAAGTGCCGGAAGGCGATCTCACTGTAACAATGGCGACGCATGGCAAAGCGATAATTGGGGAGAGGAGAAGTGATGAGTGTGTTGGCGCGCGGTGAAGCGATGAATGGGAAGGGAGCGGTGGACAAACTCTCCAAAATATGATGGCGTGCGCTTCTAGCCACGCGCATTCGCCAATCTTTTTTAATTAATATCTCGAATTTTACGTGGTGCATTTCAAAATGGTGTATAACTTTTTAGTGCGATTTAACGAGATTTACTTAAGTTTTTTTTTGGGGGCAGATTGCACAGACATCCTGTATGTATGAGCACGGACTAAAACTGGATTAATATGAATCAAAGTATTTCTATCTTTATAATATATATGAAAGATCGGTGAAGTGTCCTCTACTAATTATCTAAATAATCGTTATTTCTTCTATTAAGTTGTAAGAATATTAAAGTATTTTATGTTGTATAATAAATTATAAATAATATAGCAAAAATTTTTTTGTAGTTACAGAACAATAACGTTAAAACTACATCGAAAACACTAAATGATATAGAACAAATGTTAGCAAACAGGGTGAGCAAAAAACAATATTTATAATAAACACGTATTTGAATATAATATCTCTAATATAAGAACGTGTCTATTATTATTTTTTTAAATTATTGTTGTTTTATATATTTTTATTGTTATATATTTTTTATTTTATATATAATATATTTTTATTTTCTGTAGATCTTAGCACTTGCACTGACTAAACCTGGACCGACACGATCGCCGAAAGCGATTAAAACCGAAAATTCAAATAGCATTCTTAATACAGTCAAGGATTTTCCATCATTTGAATCATCTTCCGAACCGATAATAATCGATTTATTGCCAGTTTCATCAACGCTATCACCAAGTGTTAGTAGCACTGCATCGACTACAAAAAAATATATCGAAGCGAGAACGCCCGCATTGATACAATCTAACGCTGTACCAATTACTACGACTAAGATACCAATCGTTATTACTGCTAAATCTAAAACGACAATGCGACCCAAGACTACTACTCAAGCACCCGTGGGATTTGGTGTAAGTTTATGGCGAGCATTGTTCGGCAGCAACCGTTTTGAAGCGTCCACAAGAGCAAGTGTTAAGAAAAATCCAAAACCTGTGACTTCTAAACCAATCCATGTTACTCAAAAATCTATTGAGATTCAGAAACCAGTACCAGTACAAGTACAAACTGTACAATCAACTACGCATACAAGTCATATAATGTCCGCGATCAAGTCGCATACAACGCCAAGAAGCGTCAGTATTTCGGACATCCAAGTGATCTCGACTAAACCGCATGCAGACAATATTGATTCCGCCTCTGCTTCGACACCAAGTTCAATTTCAACACAAAAAGCATTGTTAAACAATCCAAATCCTAGATTGAATAATGTCCTTACGTCTACACATTCACCCGAGGATGATACGAAATTCTTAGTCGCACTCTTGCAAGCTATACAAACAGGTATAAAACTTAAAGCTTTAGTATTATATTTTTTTTATAAGATACTTCAATAAAATGCAAATTTAATTATAATTATAATATTAATAAAATTTTATTAAATATAATATAATATAATATTAATAAAATAAATATAATATAATTATAATATAAATTCACATAAATTAAAATCTCGCGAACTAATAAGTTTTAGATGTCGGATAGTCAGATGTATAACATAAATTCACTTTTGATTTAGAATTGTAAAAACAAATTTCTAATGTTTTATCAATAATTAATTAAGCTGCTTAGATTGGTTTAAATAATGTTTTTTTATACTTTTTGAAATTAATGAATTCATTTAAGAGATTTTTATAAGATTCCAAAATCTGAAGTCATGCAGAGAGAGATTAATAGATAAGCAAAAATTTTATTTTAATTGCGAAATTAATTTTTACGTTTCCAATGTTTAAAACTACAAGTTCATTTTCTTCGAAACTTCTTAAGAGATTTTTATTAATCCATAATAAATTTTTATATTAGAAATGAAAACTAGCACTTCTACAACACCTAAAATAACTGAAGATGATGAAGCCTTTTTAAGAGCGATTTTAAATAATCAAGCTAGCATTTCTACTGCGACACCATTAACAACCGAATTGAATCCTGCTGCTATGCTAGCATTACTTTTAAAACAACAAGGCATAGAACCGTCAACACCAGCAATAAAATTTAGGGAACAATTGCAATTAGCTGTAAGTAATGGTTTTTTTGCTATTTTCTTTCAAGATATTCTGCAATTTATGATTTATTAAAAATGTTTTAATATCTACACAAAGAAGTGCGCGATAATGAAAAATCGATCATTTTCCAATTAATAAATATTAGAATATATAAAATGCTTAATAAATAAATAATGTTTGCTCATATATTGCAATATATTTTTAATAATTATAACAATTGAGAATTTAGAATTATTATAAATAATTATAAAAAAAACTATATATTAAAATTTCAAAAATATAAATTTATTGAAACTTTTTTTACCTAATTACAAATTAGAGCTGCTTTAATAAAAATTGGATTTAAAAAGTTTATTCTTAACAGAGGATAGAAGATTAAAAATTATTTAGATTATTAATTTCTGTTGACATATAATCGAGTTCAGATTTATGCTTATATAATATAATTGATGAAAAATGTGATAATTCGAAAAATCTTATATTTATTAATGATAAAGAGATCTAAGAAATAAGTACTTGATAAGCTAATTTATAATTTTTCTACGAAATATATAATGCATGTATTTTGAAATTTTTTCCAATTAAGAAAAATTAATATATGTATCAGAACCTGGACATGACCACTACTCGATCAATGACAATGACCACTAATCGACCAACCTTCAGTTCGAGCACGATTAGCACAAGAAAACAATCGACTACACCGAAACAATCTTCTAAACCATCGAAAGATAATCGAAATCCTGATTATACGTGGTCTCCCAGTTCAACATATCCACCTCCTCTTTTCGGAGAAAATTCGAGTAGTGGACTGATTACTGCTACTAGAGCTATCGGTCAATTTCTTGGCGCTGCTATTACGGTAAATATTTATCATGAACAAATTTTTCCTATTTTTACTTTTCTTACTTGTGATTGTAAAAAATTTAGTCAAAATCTAAAATTCTAAAATTTTATCTTGCTATAAAATGACTTTTATCTTTGTTTTTAAGATATCTAATATGTGCATTTATTAAATTAAATTTGCTTTATGAAAAAGTATTCTTTAAAAGCAAAATTATTTTTGAAAATTAAATTATAAAATAACTATATAAAATGAATTATAATTCTATATAAAATAAATTATGAAAATAAGTTGTGAAAGTATGCAAAATAGTTTTCTTCTATTTATTTCATTTTCTATATTTTTGAATAAGATAATTAATATAATTAAGAATAAAATAAAAAAGACTTTTTATAATACTTTATATATTATATATTATATACCACACATATTAAAATTTTTTTAAATCATATTTATTATTAATGTTTTTATTTCAATTTTTGTTAGGGTGCAGCTCAACAATTACAATCTTTTCTAAGAAATAGTACCAGAAGCATAAATGGATAATATTAGAAAAGGACAATATATATTCATCCGACAATATATATTCATCATTTCCGTTTTTTGAGAACAAAAGTCAGAATTGATGTTATAGCAGTTATTAATCAGGATTACGTTCCAAAACATCCTCTCTAGAGAAAAATTTTACTCTATAACCATTCTAAAATCTCTTCGAGCATTTCAAAACTGAGAGGAAACATTCGTGTTTTCTCCATTTGTGTAAAATTCTCACCTGCATTTTGACTAAACGACAAGCAATAAAAAATGGCGAAAAAAATGGAAGTGTAAGTTGAAAATTTTTTAAATCCAAATTATAAAATAGATAACATTCCAATTGTATTCGAATTTTATAAGATAATAGTATTTCCTTTTAATTACATCCAGTGCGTTCCAAAACTCGATTACTTTCGTTACACAATTTGTTTCTCTTCATTTACCTTGCGTTACCACTAATAACAATTTTGGAACGTAGTCTAAAAACATAGTTACTGTTGAAAACGCATTTAATGATAATATGAAAATCGACGCTACGAAAACTCAAAATGAACAGCACAAAGTAACCTAATAATTCAAGTAGCAAAGAGATGCCAGAAGACAACATAATAACAAAAAAATTTAATCATCCATACAGCATAGAAACTTCCATCAACATTGTTACAATGTTACAACATTGCTCATTGCAGTGTAATGTTGCGAAAATATTGTAAAGACATTATTTTATAATATTATTTTAGCAATGTTGCAGTAACATTTTAAAATAGCGAAAATATATAATAGCGTATGACATGTTTTTTCACTTGCCACTATACGGCAACATCAAACTTAACTCGTATTCAAATTTTCATCTAAAATAGATATAGAGTTTACAAAGAACTAATGTAGTAAGGTATATTTCTTGTCTTGTGTCAGTTTAATTTCTGATAAGCTGGCTTGATTTGTTTAATATTCTGAATCAAATTATTTGTTTAATAATTTGGATCCCTCGTTGAAATTCAGAATATAAACAGATTTTTCTCAATTGGGAGGGTAAATGGGAAATAGTACATTTATTGCACATATTAAGATATTCTGGTGTTGAGTGTATGTAAAATAATTGTATATAGATTATCGAGATTTACATATTTAATAAGAAACATTAAAAGAGAAACATTTAATAAGAAATACTAATAGATGTTTTTTAAAGACATTTTTTCCTTTTCATTAAACATCTTTTATATTTTCGAAGCTTATTCATTAAATTTAAAGCATTCTACATTTATAGCTAAACGTGCTTTAATATTACAAATACATTGCACTGTAACATTATTATAATCTTACATTATAATATTTCTAAGAGCAACATTTCAACGTTGCTACAAGCTTCCAATAACATTTCGCAACTTCTATGCAATACTACAATGTTATATATAACGTTATTGCAATCTTTTTCGGTGCTGTATGAGCATAATCTACTTTACAGTCATTTATAATATGATTTATGATATTGACGACTAATAACTGAAAAAGAACATAAAAATAAAAGTAATATCAATTTGGTTACGATGTTATTTTGCTACTTGCAAAATATTGTCGTATTATAATATTATGTATATATAAAAATATACAATTTAATATTATAGATTAGTGCTGGAATTTACTTGCAACTTTCGACCAGATTTCTTAGCTTACACCATAGACATAGTAAGTATAGACCGAGCATCCATTGTATAAGCGTTAAGCATACGAAAAGAAAGACAAAAAATGTAAGATAAGTTTCTTTCTCTTTTTAATGCCGAAGAAGTGGGGAGCATTTCTCCTCATCTCCTCGCCTCTCCATGACGAACCGGCGCGAGAAGATGTGGAGAAGTGCTCCCCACTTCTCCGGCATTGAAAAGAGAAAGAAACTCATCTTACATCTTTTGTCTTTCTTTTCGTATGCTTAACGCTTATACAATGGATGCTCGGTCTATACTTACTATGTCTATGGCTTACACCTACTGTTCTCCTCCTACAGTTCACTCCTTAGCGACCGCACCGCCGGTCGCTCATAACTAAGGAGCGCTCAGGAACGTGCGTGTCACAAATGTAATGTGGCAATCTTTTCAAGTTCTCTTTATTGTTTAATAAAAATAATTATTCTATTATTAATTACGTTTAAAACTCAAATATTTTAAATTGTTACAGAACATATACATAATTAATAATAGAACAATTATTTTTATTATTAATAAACAATAAAAAGAACTTAGATAGATTGTCACATTACATTTATGATGCGTTCCTGAGCGTCCCTTTATGAGCGCTCCTTTACGAGCGACCGGCAATATGATCGCTAAGACGCAGCGGTAGGAGGGGAACAGTAGACGTAAATTAAGAAATCTGACCGAAAGTTACAAGTAAATTCCAGCACTCTTCTATATAGTACTAATGATTGATCAAACGTAATTAAATAAATAACAAAATAACTTATATTTAAGTGATAAAAATTCGAGAAATTTAATTTAGATAAAAATTAAATTCCGATTTTTCATTTCAAATAAGCAATAAGTAGAAGACTTTCTACTTAATCACCCGATTTTTCGAACAATCTGTTTAATATTCTAAATCTTTTTTGCATCAGATAGATAAAGATATATTTTGCATCTCTTAAGTTAATATGTTATATTACTTTAATAAATAGTGTTTACTGAGAACTACTTTTTCAATTATTATATGCATATCAGTTAATGAAAAGCATGAATAATGAATACGAACAAGTCAACATCTATACAGTACAAAAAATTGCAAATTATTGCAGAATAATTTCATTGAAACATTACAATATTACAAATTGATTGGGAAATTTTGCTGCATTATTGCTATAAAATTGCGGCAACGTTAAGATGTATGCTTTCTGTAATATTGCAACGAAACATAGCAGCATTTATAGCAACATTGCAATGTAATATATTTGAAAAAATATAACCACCCACTCAGCATATTATATTATTGAAATATTGCTGCTATATTTCATTTGAAATATTACACCTTTCAATAATATTACAGAAATATTTCACTGTTTGTGCAATATTTCTGCAATGTTTCAATGTCCCCAATCATTTCAAATATAACCTTGCTAAAAGATTTGAATAATATTTCGGTAATATAATCTGAAATATTCTGAAATATATCTACTTAATATTGCAGAAATATTTCAGATACATTTTAGCTAACAAATTGCAGATACAATTTCAGAAATATAAGGACGCATTCCATGGCAGAAAAACAGAAACCAATCAAAACTCGTGCTGGTAGTCACAGTTTTTACTTTCTGCCTTTCTGATGTACTGTTTCCCAGGTAGCAAGCAAACGTCATTTTGAAGCATTCCAAACTGATTATGACTGACATTTTTGGTCATATGTCGTCAAAATGACTGATTTGTTACATGATTTTATATAGACGTCTTAATATAACATTATTTTGATGTCATATTTCATATTATGAACTGACGATTATATTATTAATGTGATTAGTTAGTACATCAATCAAATAAAAAATCTTTTAAATTTTTTTATATAACATGATTTTCACGATCAGACTTTAACAATTTTTCTTTCGATGCATGCGTTTATCTGTGCACGACTCACGTTGCTACGCAGTGAAAATATTAGCTATATCAATCGAGTAATTAAAGTGCCGAAAAATATACACATTTTTTTGTACAGTTAATTGGCAAAATATATTTTTATAAAATGCAGACAACGAAAGACATTATTTATTAAAATATATTAAAATTTTATATATTAAATGTAAGTTTATTTACATTTATATAAAATAATAATAACAAATATAAAACATGTGACCTATTTTCTTATCATATTTGCATTTCCCAGCGTTTTCGAATAAAGCAGTTCAATCGATCCGAAATTCTTCTGAAGACTAGAATGGTTGTAATTGTTCAATAATGCTCTCGAATCAGTTAATCTACTTTATATTCGCTATTAAATACATTATTATGTTAAGAAAAAAACGTCAAAATATGATAAATTTTATAACGTCAAAGTGGGGTATATATCATGACGTCAAAAATCTGTGACATTAGACCTTCACTTTTACGTCATAAAAACGTCAATTCGTGACATCAGGAATACTCAGTGAATGACCAATTTGAAACATTAAAATGACGTAACGTATGCTAGCTACCTCGGTTATTATCAGCGCGAGTTCTGATTAGCTTCTACTTTTCTGCTTTTCCGCCAAGATTTGAATGCACCCTTACTGTAATATAATGAACATATTTAAAAATAAATATATCTAAGAATTTTCTAATGCATTAACATTACTTTTATTAACACAAGATTACATTATCATTAATGATAAAAATGATATAAATCGTTAAAAAAAATCGAATTTACATTTGTTACTTAATTCATTTTTCTAAATTTTTTATATTTTAATTCCTCACAAAAGAAAAATTAATGAATGTAAATATAGTAATTCCACCAATAATGCTAAAAAAATCTTATTTAAAATAAATAATTAATCTCTTCATCTCCAAACAAAGTTTCGTCATTGTTTTGAAGTTGTTTTATTTTGTAGAAGTTGTTTCTTTTATTACTTCTTTAGTTTTGAAAAATACGTATATCTTTTAATACATTACACAAATAATTTTAATAATTATACAACTTTAATATAAAATTAGTGTTATTTTTGTCTGAATAAATGTAAATTACTTGGACTAACCAAGGTGCAATACTTTTATGTTGCACATAATTCCCAATATTATTGAAATAAAGCTAAGCAGCTTCTAAAAAGTTATAATTAATTTGTAATTATTATGTAAATTTAGTTGTACAGATTTATACTAAAATTGATATCATCACAAAAACTTATTCATTATATATTTAAATAAATTGATATTTTTAGAAGCTATATTTGACTGCGGATTATCCTTTTTTTTGAAGTTTTCCTCTTGAAAAATTACATTGAAAACACAATGTTTTCCAGGATTTTGTACTTAGAACAGATATAAAATGTTTGAAAATTTTAATTCTAATTTAAATTATCAAAATGAAGAAATTAAACTCATAAACATACCGTATTTGGTATCTAATGTTCCGTTAGATTACATGCATCTTGTGTATTTAGGAGTAATGTATAAGTTAATTTATTTTTGGTTAAGCGGGCCAATCAATAAAAATGTACGACTTCCAGCCATTGTCTAATATTGTGAGTGAAATTTCTGATACGTTAATAAATTTAGTAAAATTTATATCGTCGAATTTCAACAGAAAACAAAGAGCTCTAAAATATTTAAAATATTGAAAAGCGGGACATCATTTATTTTTGAGACCAATAATTTACGTAAACATTTGAGAAAAGATTTATACAATCATTTTCTAGAACTACATTGCTATTATTATTTCAACTTCACCAGTTCTTTCTTCTAATGATGTAAATATGTCTTATGCAGAACAACTATTGAATCATTTTGTTTAGAGTTTGGAAACATTGTATGATAACAGATATATCAGCCATAATGTGTATAATTTCCGACATATTGCACAAATGTTAGGAAATACGGGATCTTAGATGAATTCAGCGCATTTTGGTTCGAAAATTTTATAGAAACATTGATAAAACATGTGAAAAAAGACGAAAAGCCTTTTCAACAAATTTCCAGAAGATTGAAAGAATATGAATTAACGTTGCAAACGAAAAATTCCTGGAAATTTAGTCAGATTGGAAACGTGATCATAACGATATTATGCCTCATAATATATTCTTATTTCTTTTTAAAACAATATAAAAAATTTACAAAGATTTTTACATTTGTATCAAATAATAAAAATAATTGTTGCTTATTAGACGATGGTACTATTGTTGAAGCACTATATTTTGCTATATAATAATATATAATATATTATTGGTAGAGAATTAGTTAAATTAAAAAGTTTAATCAAAAAGTTTATATGAATATTCTATGAATTCATCTAATTTGTCAATCTACGTATTTAAAGTAAATGAAATTATTTTATCATGATTATATTTAGGATCAAATTACTAAAATTATCTTACAATAAAAAAGCAGATTCCATTGTCGTTTTTTCTATCCTCC